ATATATATATATATATATATATATATAATATATATAAATATATATATAAATATATATATATTTATATATATATAATATATTATATATATATATATTAATATATATAAATATATATATATATATATATATAATATATAATATATATATAATTATATATATATTATATATATATATATATAGAATAAAAAATATATTATAACCATATATATCATATTTCATAATGCTATATTAAATCCATTATATATAAATATAATTATACCCTTCAATCACACTGTCCGATTCCCAAGGCAGGTGCCCGAAATATAAAAATACTTTCACCATCATCACTCCATCACATGTCTTGCCAAGAAGGGTGCTCATTACACTCCTTTTAAACTGCAACATTAACCCCGCCAATCCTTCAGAGCAGCAACTGTTACTCCCATCCTCCAGGACTCAAGTCCGCCTGCCGGTTTCCCCTGAACCCCTTCATAAATGTTACTTTTGCTCCACTCCAACAGCACGACCAATTAAAAACCATTCGTCTCCATTCACTCCTATCAAACACGCTCACGCACGCCTGCTGGAAGTCCAAGTCCCTCGCACACAAAACCTCCTTTATACCCCCCTCCCTCCAACCTTCCTAGCCGACCCCTACCCCGCCTTCCTTCCACTACAGACTGATACACTCTTGAAGTCATTCTGTTTCGCTCCATTCTCTCTACATGTCCGAACCACCTCAACAACCCTTCCTCAGCCCTCTGGACAACAGTTTTGGTAATCCCGCACCTCCTCCTAACTTCCAAACTACGAATTCTCTGCATTATATTCACACCACACATTGCCCTCAACATGACATCTCCACTGCCTCCAGCCTTCTCCTCGCTGCAACATTCATCACCCATGCTTCACACCCATATAAGTGTTGGTAAAACTATACTCTCATACATTCCCCTCGTTTGCCTCCAAGACAAAGTTCTTTGTCTCCACAGACTCCTAAGTGCACCACTCACCCTTTTCCCCTCATCAATTCTATGATTCACCTCATCCTTCATAGACCCATCCGCTGACACGTCCACTCCCAAATATCTGAATACATTCACTTCCTCCATACTCTCTCCCTCCAATCTGATATCCAATCTTTCATCACCTAATATTTTGTTATCCTCATAACCTTGCTCTTTCCTGTATTCACTTTTAATTTTCTTCTTTTGCACACCCTACCAAATTCATCCACCAATCTCTGCAACTTCTCTTCAGAATCTCCCAAGAGCAGTGTCATCAGCAAAGAGCAACAGTGACAACTCCCACTTTATGTGTGATTCTTTATCTTTTAACTCCACGCCTCTTGTCAAGACCCTCGCATTTACTTCTCTTACAACCCCATCTATAAATATATTAAACAACCACGGTGACATCACACATCCTTGTCTAAGGCCTACTTTTACTGGGATATATATATATATATATATATATATATATATATATATATATATATATATATATATATATATATAATATATATATTATATATATATTATATATATATATATAATAAATATAATATATATATATATAATATAATATATATATATATATATATATATATATATATATATATATATATATATATATATATATATATATATATATATATATATGGAAGGAAGGCGGGGTAGGGTCGGCCTAGGAAGGGTTGGAGGAGGGGGTAAAGGAGGTTTTGTGTGCGAGGGGCTTGGACTTCCAGCAGGCATGCGTGAGCGTGTTTGATAGGAGTGAATGGAGACAAATGGTTTTTAATACTTGACGTGCTGTTGGAGTGTGAGCAAAGTAACATTTATGAAGGGATTCAGGGAAACCGGCAGGCCGGACTTGAGTCCTGGAGATGGGAAGTACAGTGCCTGCACTCTGAAGGAGGGGTGTTAATGTTGCAGTTTAAAAACTGTAGTGTAAAGCACCCTTCTGGCAAGACAGTGATGGAGTGAATGATGGTGAAAGTTTTTCTTTTTCGGGCCACCCTGCCTTGGTGGGAATCGGCCGGTGTGATAATAAAAAATATAATATATATATATATATAATATATATATATATATATATATATATATATATATATATATATATATATATATATATATATAATATATATATATACGCACGCAGGCATACTTATAATGTACAGGTGAACTGTGGTCTTAATTTATGTGAAGTCGATAGAACAGAAACCTATCTAAGGGGCGTATTAGAGTCCCCGGGGTTGAGCTCCAGCTTTTGGCCAGGGTAGCTTTATTTATATTTAGAATACTGTACATTGATGGAGTTAGTATCCATAGTTGTCTCATTTGCTAAGCTCGTGATTTTCCCTCTTCAACATTGTTATTTAGTTGTTGATAACTCACGTTTAACATTTACAGAGTTGTAGCTGACAATACATCCTCTTTGATCCCATCCCAGCCATCTCCCATGCTTTGAAATAAATATTTTTTTAAGTTATTTATTCTATGAGCCCTATGGGTTAAGCGTTTCCCCTTAATAATAATAATAATAATAATAATAATACTCTAGGGTCATTTCAGTCGCGTTTTTATCTTGTTTTACAATTTTTTTTATAACTACCATCCTGCCAAGTGAATGCGAAGTGGAAGCCTGTTAAATGTGTTGCACTCTGAATACCTGTTATGATTCAGCGCATATTTCAGATACATCTTGTTTCCCTTGCACGAATCTCCTATTCGTTTCACACACTGCCTCATTCTCTCATTTTTCTTCTACCTTTCTATCTTCTCACCTATTTTGGGAACCTTACTGCCAAACAAATTTTCTGCACAGGCAAGGTCTCATTAGTGAGACAAGCTAGTCTCCATCATAAACCTCGGTGAGTCTGTGTTGATAGGATATCTTGCTTTTCTGGCAACTTAAATTCCACAGGTGCAATGCAACCATTTATTTCGACACAGTTTCGCTCTATGTAGAACTTTATTAAATCAACAAACCTCTATATACAATGAAACATTGAATAAATGACTGCCCTGCACTTGCCTTTTCTTCATCACAATCGGCAGAATGCTGCTGCTGTTTCCAGCTTGAATACCTTTCAAGTTCCACCTAACGTCCATTGTCCAGTCCTCGATCACCTTGCTTCTTGCAATCTCTGCTTCCTCTCTACCGCACTTTTATTTTAAATTTTTGGCATCTTTCACAGTTTATGCTTCAATTTTGTAACAAAAAATAATGTAAGGAAAGGTTAATATGAAAAAAAAAACATTATTATTATATATGCAATCAAGCATGCCATACAACGTTAAAGAATAAATTTAAATATGTAATTCAAACTCTTAATGCGTCTTGCATAATGTGTTACAAACAAATAATTATTAACCCCTTCCCCTAGTTCGTAATTATTTTTGTAAATGTGGGCGGCTTGTTTACTGATTCAGTATTTCATCTGAAAGGAGACTGTTCTCGGGTTGCAAAAAAAAATATTGACTGAATGAAAGGTACTTCCTTACAATATATCATGCTTCTAGTTAAAATATCCATTAAAAAGACCGCTTGTTCAACACATTAAATATGACTTATAGATCATCATTCATTAGGTGACTTAAGTTACTTCTGGCGGAGAAGTGTTAACATGAAGGAGCGTTAAACCCGTAGGGGTCATACAGCTCTTGAAGACTGGGAGGTAACTAGATCTGAATAGGGAGAGGGTAGCTCGAATCCCTTGGATTTTATACAAGTCCTTCACCGACATCAACTCAATCCGACCCCCACCCGTAAAGGGTTAGAGAATGTTGACGTTAGTCTGAGTTCTTAAAATTTATCTATGTATACATTTTTTCAGACATTTTGAGATTTTACACCAAGATTTTAAACTGCATATTCAACGTCTATTACACATTTCATATATCTATTAAACTTACTTTAAAAAAAAAAAAAAAAAAAAAAACTTCAAAAGAAAATTATTACTGCAAAAGTCGTTTCATGAACACGGAAAATAACATGGTCACAGTTGATCGGAAAATAATATAAACAAGATGGTCCCCTAATCATAATAGTCATGTCATTCTCTTGCACCTCTAAAGAATCTAATCAAATTCTCGTTAAAAGCCAGGTGAATTTTGCAGGTGATATTCTCACTATCACTGCAATGGACGTACAGGTATGCCTGAACTTGAATACCTAAGGCACGCTGATTCTGACTCATATACACGATGGTTTGGTTCAAGGTCTGCCTTCATTACTAGGCAGCGGATTACTGAGAATCCGCCACCACTGTGCAGCCTAATCCGTACCTTTGGTATTATACAACACTACTAACTCATAATCATCAAAACTCACGCCGGTAAAATGCATTTCATAAACAATATTTCATAATAAAACCTACTGCTATAGAAAAACACCGCTTATATATTTACAAGGGTCATTAACATACATTATACAAAAGTAATACGAAAATAAATAGCTAAAGTATTATTAAAGCTTAGAAAAAAATCGGCAAGGTATATTGCATGTTTCTCAGTCACTAATATACATCATGCAAAGGTATTAATATTAGTGTAATAATCTAAAATACTAATAACAAAATAAAATAAATTTTCGAGGGTAATTAATATTTTGTATCAACAATGAAGTGAAGACAAACGCACTGTTTCCGGCTATGTTTAGACTCGGCTCAGGGAGGTACACGAGTGGTGAAAATGGATACAAACACACGTCGGCAAGTACCCCCAACAAGTAAATGTTTATTTTTAAAGTTTTCTAATATTCTGTTGTTTGTTTATGGTGCCGGGGTGCATTTGAATATGGAACACTAGCGGCAAGGCTACTGAGATGGTTGAGAAGCCCATACCACAAGGGTACAGCAGTTGCATACTATAATTTAAGGGGTCTCTTCGACTCCACCCTCAAAGGTGACTACAGAAATTACTGCTAATACATAAAAAACGAGTAACATTCAAAACACTGATGGAAATGATAGCTAATTACCAAATGGGGCCAAAATAAAAATGAATATGGGTACTTACGATCTGTTGATGTCGTATCTGAGCGGTTGATTCCAGAAGGAGCCGACGTAGACTCTCTCCACTTCTGGTGTGTTGAGGATCTTGCCCAATGACCACATAAGAGCACCATACACCCTCATCAACTGCTGATGGTCAATCATATCCGCCTTGTTGAGCACGATGCGAATTTTATCATGTTGGCCTCTCAGACGCTCTAGGAAGCATCGGAACTCGTCAGAGATGTCAAGTTTGTGAGCATCGAACAGAAGGATAATCCTGTCGACCCTTTCCGCGAACCACTCAAGCACAGAATGGAAGTCATAGCCTCGGTCGACTCTTTGCTTCTCTCCCGACAATATGCCGGGTGTGTCGACGACGCTGAGACCTTTTAACACGTTGGAGTTGACGTGAGAACATTGGAATCGGTTAAGGAAAGTGTTGCCATACTTTGACAGAGGACGGAAGGGTTTTTTGGGATCCACCACGAGGGCGTTGCCAGGAATAATACCGTCTCTCTCGTTATACATCACCACAACAAAGCTGTCCGTCGTAGGCTCAGGCCCGATGCGTATTCCCGGGAAATCCTTCTCCAGGATATACCGAATGAAGGTAGTCTTGCCTGTGGAATACTGTCCCACCAGAAGTATCATGGGCTTGGCATCGAAGTCTGTGTCGTTCAGTGGAGGGGAATGGAAATCTTCAAACTTGTAGTGAGACTCTAGGGGTAGGACCTTATTCTTGTAGACCATCTTGAGGCCCTCCAGCACCGACTCGCACATCTGTAAGTGACGTTTCTTGATATCATCTCTGCTGAGCCAGGAGAACATGGTGAGGAATGAGAGAACATAAGCGACCGCCGGGGACACAGTCAAGGGCTACACTGCCACACCACGGCCGCCACTAGCCCCTCCTCGCCGCCTGTGCCAACCACCACACTCCAAATCCGTCCCGTGAATACCTAGGCGGGTGGTGAGCTCCCTTCCCGTCAGACGCGCTACCTCACCCTTTCATCTCTACTGTCAAACCCACATGGGCCCAGTCGCAGCCTCTATGGTGGTGTTAATCTATAAATAACGCTACGCAACACGAGTTTCTTTGTCTATATGATGACTATCACTTAGTCTGTACACTGCTGAGGCTTGGGAGAGACTGGTGCAGAGAAAGTGACAGAGTGGAAATGTATCTAAGAAATGACGTGTAGCAGGCATCATGCTGGTGAACAATTACACTGCTGCTACACTAGGCAACTTGGATGTATCTTATCCCTAACTTCAAGGGCGAAGATATGATAATTGTTATGTCCATCCGTTGGAGTGTCAATCAGTGTTTCTATATACCTATTGTTTGATGCGTGAATGATCATGTGTAATGATTTATAAATGTATACGTCTCAGTGAGATTACCTATTTGTAGATGCAGTAGCAAATATATGCTCATGTCTCGTCTTCAGCATTTAGTATTTATCTGTATGTGTATGTTTACGTATGCGTGCGTGAGAGAGCATATGGTGGGAGAACGAGGAGTGACGTGGCGGTTAGTGGGGGAGGAGGCTGGGAAGAGTCCCTTTCACCCAGTTAAGTAAATATTAAAAGGCTCTAGAATGCAACCGCCATCATCTCACATTATGAAAGGGACCCACCATCACTTCATGTTATGAGGGAGGCCCGCCAGCACCCATATGTAAGTAAATCTAGCATGATACTTCATTATTATAAGTGGACTTATCACTCACATTATTTAGTTGGCTTATGAGGTTTAGATCCTGTCGACTTCACGAGGGTCATTAAAACTACATGTCGCCTCTACACTACCATTTAAGAATTCTTTAATCCCTAAATGATGGACTAAAACATACTTTCAGTATATGTACATTAAGAGACAAACCTCGGTGCATATGTTTTTCAACCAAATCACAGGTATACTCCAGGACCTGTTACCACTCACATTATAAGTAAACCTATCACCAACATAAGTGGCCTAGGACCTATTATCATTCACATCATAAGAGGACCTATCACCCTACATAATAAGGGATACAACACTCTTATTTTAAGAGAGTATAAAACTCACATTGTATGGGGGCTTATAATCCCCCATTACAAAGGGAACATGCATATAATAACCCCTTTATAGTCACATATATTCCCTATTATAAGGAACATAACCCCATTATTAAGAGATTAGATGATTCTCCTACAGGCAATAGCACAATACTATATAAGACGTACAATATTAAAGAATGTCTTGTTTCTGATGGGAGAGCATCTTCAGTGAAGTCAATATTGGATAAGTCAAAATGTGATGGGAAAAGTGTGAGAAATTAGATTAGCGATCATCTGATATCAGACTGGAGCTTCTTAGGCTAGAGAAAATCGGGTGTAAATGTATAAGGGACGGGATAATATAAGACATCGAAAGAGAGTGCGCCGGATTAGACGAAATCTAGCATTGAGTTCCTAGTTTCGGGCCAGAGAAAGTTGAATCAAACATTCTCTCACGCACGCAAGCGCGCGCTCACACACACACACACACACACACACAACACACACACACACACACACACACACACACACACACACACACACACACACACACACACGTCAGGAAGTGGAATAGCCTAGCAAGTGAAGTAGTGGAGGCAGGAACCATACATAGTTCTAAGAAGAGGTATGACAGCTCAGGAAGCTGAGAGGGAGAGGACCTAGTAGCGATCAGTGAAGAGGCGAGGCCAGGAGCTGAGTCTCGACCCCTGCAACCACAATTAGGTGAGTACAATTAGGTGAGTACACACACACACACAATAGAATAGACAAGGTGGACAAAGACGGGATGTTCCAGAGAAGGGACACAGACACAAGAGGTCACAATTGGAAGTTGAAGACTCAGATGAATCAAAGGGATGTTAGGAAGTATTTCTTCAGTCATAGAGTAGTCAGGCCGTGGAATAGCCTAGAAAGTGACGTAGTGGAGGCGGGAACCATACATAGCTTTAAGGCGAGGTATGATAAAGCTCATGGGGCAGGGAGAGAGAGGACCTAGTAGCAATCAGCGAAGAGGCGGGGCCAGGAGCTATGAATCGACCCCTGCAACCACAAATAGGTGAGTACACACACACACACACACGTAGAACAGGCCTAGTGTCTAATCGACATGTGCCTAGGACAAAATGGTAACTAACACACACAGTGTTATCGGGCTCTGGTATCAGTGATGGGCTCGGGTTGCAGAGCCAGGAGGACGTGCAACCGCAGGGTATCCGAGACCCTGCAGTGGCGAGTTTGGGCTCAAGTTTATCTTCCTTCCTGAAGCCGCCACTGCAAGGGAAACAGTGTGAAATATATGTACATTTAAGGACAAACACGTTCGATTCCAAATCAACGGATATTTATCGTATTTACATATAGTACAATGCAACTCAAGTCGATAACTAGTCATGTTGCATTTGGTTTATATACATTGAAGTTTCTCAGAAGTCTCATTACTTCACTGTTTATTTCAGTACTTGCTTTTTGTGTGTGCTTCGTCCTTTTCCATTACATTTCTGGTAATGAGTTTCGTTCAGTGGAGAAGATGCTATTAATTATGTTGAGCTCTTTACGTACTTTTCTAAATTTCTGGCGAGTACATCTCACGCCTTCTTTAACACTTATCACTTTATTTCTTATTGTCAAATTCCTTCTGATGTGGCCGTGTACTAGCTGTGGTTGAGCCTTTGTTTTGACTCCAATATAATCTCTAAATTGATTTTTTCTGTTTATCCCCTTGCTATAAAGCTGCATTTTCTACCGGGGTTTTGCGGAACCCAAAGATTCTGTGATCTTCTTGTATGGGTTCTGTGAAACTTTGCAAATAGATTAAAAAAAAAAAAAAAAACTCAACCTTGACATGCCTGCAGAGACCACAAGCCAGTGGTGGGTAAGCCGTAATCCAGACGCTTAAGACCATCGATGACCAATTGTTTGCCAGAGTCTGAGCTATGGCAATAGTAAGTCAGGTTTTTAACTAACAAGGATCCTTGACACTTCTCGTCCTTATGGGTCCGTGGATATCTTGACTCGACAAGATCATCACTCCTCAGTTTAAAAGCTGTGCCCTCCATGTCTTTGGGCTTAACGTTGTTCAGCAGTGGGCTGTGTATAATTAACATTGATGTTCCATATGTGTAGTCAATGAAGTCCTTGCAGCTGAGGACTTTCATTTCCTTGAACTTCAAATGTTTCCTGATTAGGTGACGTCATTTGGAAAAGCAGTTTTTTAACAATGTTACTTGTGCCTGCGATCACGATTTTATCACTGCTTTCCTGTCTTCACTCAATGACCTCGCTGATCTTGTTAGTTATCTCATCAGAATTTATGTAAATGACCTTGAAACATATTTCACTGCACTTGCTAATTGCTTATGCGCTTTTTGGTGGAGGTTGTGAAGGAAGAGTGGGCTAGCAGTAGTAGGGATATGATAGAGGGTGGACTGTTTAGTGAGGTGATATGTGTTGTATGTTAGGGTATGGTTATAAGTTGGGTGTATTATTGCATATTCTTACATTGACTAGTTTATTCTCTGTGTATACTTCGGAAGACAGCTTAGGTCTGATGTTTATTCGTAGGTTTATTTTAGAAGAATCCAATGTTCATTGCTTTGTTAGTGCTGGCATTAAATTTTTATAGCCTTTTTTACCACTGTTATACTCCTTTAAGATCACAAAACGGGTGAGGATCGACCCCATGGCAAGCGAGTCACAGGCCAATGTGTTATCCACTGGACCATACCGGCCTAATAAGCACACTGGCCTGCTAGTTTTAGGACTCGCTTGCCATGGGTTCGAGTCCCACCTCTTTGTTATTTGTTTCCAATTGTGTTGTGATTTTATGAGTCACTCTTTTAAGATCTTTGTGTAATTTTATGCAGTCTTCCTTCATTTGTATTTTTCTAATTATCTTTGCGTTGCACACGAGCACTACATTTAGGCATCAGTCGCCACTGGTAGGTCATTTATGTACACCGCAAACAGTATGGGATCTACGCCTCGCCCTACTGTGATCTCGTCCATCCTGATTGTTTTCTTTCTCATTGCGACAGTTTTCTTCATGTATTCATTTATCTATACTAAAATATTTTTCTAGCTCTGCCAACTGTGTCGATTTTCTTGTCGAGGAAAACGCAATCCGCTAACTTTTCTCTTACTTGCCTTATTTCCATCAACCTATTAAGTTTAGATTAGGTTTATCAAACATTTTTCAGTCCTGAATCCATGTTGGTGCAATGTGATGCAATCAATGGTCTCAAGGTGCTCCATTCGACTCTTTCTCACTATTTTTTCATATGTTTTCATGTGATGTATGTCAGGAATATTTGTCTATAGTGTAATGACCCGTCTGTTGCACGTCTTGTATTTTAGAATTATACTAGTTATCTTCCAGGCGTCTGGCAGAATTCATATCTCTGGTGTTTTGGTGACAATTAGTTAAAAGGATTTGCTCAGTGTTCTCTTTTACTCCTTCACCCTAAAAGGGGAGTGCGTGATGCCGGTGAAAGGCTCTTGATATGGGAACTTGAATTACTCTCATTTCTGGATCAAATCTGATTACTTCCCATTCCCCAGACGCTGTATGACTACAGATTTAGCGCTTCCCATGAGAAATAATAGATAACCTACCTTTTTCAATATTCTGATAGTCTCTCAGTATCATCAGTCTAAATGCTAAACCCCGTAAAGTTTCTCCATATCTACCTCGTCTATGCCCTGCAGTATTTTCTGTGCCGTAATTATTTTACGTCTCGTTCTAAGTTCCCCCAAGGACATTGTATTATTATGTTTATGTAATGGGCAAACCCGGGGTATATCATTCAGCGCTGGGCAGAGGCATGAACACTAGCTCATGGCTCGCCAGTCTGCAGGCCTACCTCATAAATTACTCGAACTACACTTCGTGTTTAAGCTAGACAGCCTTCCAATACATGGCATGAATTTGGCTAGTTTAATTTGCCCATAATTATATAATTTGCATTATTAAACTGTTCAACAAACTCACACGAGGAACATTTATTTTAACGGTATTATAATCTA